GGGGGGGAGGCGCTGTATATAGAGTTAGGAAAAGCCAATTGGAGGGAGCGACATTTGAGCATATTGGGGGTGCTAGCTTTGTGGATATAGATAGCTTTATAATTTTCCATACTTTCTTAATTTTTTCTACACTAGGCATGCAATAATTGCATAATCAAAACAAATAAAAAGAGAGCTCTTCATATTTCAGGAAAAGATCTGGAGCCACAGATCTGCACTAAAGTAGAGTGTGGGAGCAGGTACAAATGCACGGAAAGGAGAACCCAGAGCTCCCCAGCAGGGACCCCGCCGGCCCGCACAGGAAGCTGCCGGTGGGAGAGCGGGGGGCTCCCCGGGGTCAGCGTCCCCGTGGGCCGCGTCCTGCCGCACGACCTCGGCCGAGGTGCGAAGACTCGCCGCAGGAGGCTCCGCGTCCCTCACTGGACTGCATTTCCCAGGAAGCTCCACGCCCCGCTAGGAGCGGCTAAAGACTTTGGCGAGGGCGGGGCCAAGAAGCTGGAAATTAGTATCCCGGAGCCGAGCAGCGCGCTGGCCTTCGGCCCTCCGCCCTCCACCCACTCGAGGAAAGAACCGGAGGCGGAAGGAAGAGTCCATTCTCAGCGGATCCCTTCCGGCGTATGGGGCACTCTACTCGTAGCTGGGCCAGACGCCGTGTCGGCCCAACAAACCAGCCTTGGCTTTCCCTTTTCGCCCTTCACGGACCAGCAGGGCAGAGAAATGTGAAAGAACGAGTCTAGAAGCGAACCTCAGCTTGGGGGCATAGGTAGGCGTCGCTGCCTCCTGATTGGCCAATTCTAGGAATTCTCCCCGTTCATTGGCTATCCGTCAGGGAGAAGGCGGACTCAATGGGCGAAGGGCTTTCTGGGCGTGTAGTTCGAGGGCTTGCTGCGGCGCATGCGCTGTGTTGTTTCCCGGCGAGCCACGCGCGAACTTCCGGCGCGGGGAGCTGGCGGCGGAACTAGGAACGCCTGGGCAGTTGTGGGCGGTGTGTGTCTCGGGGGCGGGACCGGCGACGCGGAGCTCCGAGAGCCAGCGCTGGGCTGCGGGCGGCAGGGGCCAGCGCCCCGAGACAGAGGCCGAAGGTGGCGCGCGCTGCTGGGAAGTGCTGGGGGTGGGGTCACCTGCTCCCGCCGTGCCCGCCCGCCGCTTCTCAGCTGAGCGCAGGCGAGGCTGCTGGGGTCGGAGCGCGGTGCTCCGGCCAGGTCCGTGTTCCCGCTCGCCGCGTCCTGCCGAGCGACCCTGGTGAGTCCCTGGTCCTGTCCGAGCGGAGCCTTCTCCTCGGTCACTGGAGGATGAGAATGGAGCGCGTACCTTTCAGGGGTGTTGTGAGGAGTGGAAGAATAAAGTAAAGTGCTTAGTGTGTAGTGGAGAAGGACTGGAAACAAGCTGAATGCCTCACTCGGGTACCTGTTAAGAAACTGGAGCGCATCCACACCGTGCAATCTCCCAGAGTGGCTAATGAAGAAGCATTGTTAGGTGGAAAAGCAAGATACAAAATAGTATGTGCAGTAAGACCTCATTTATGTAAAACACACAAAAACACTTATTTTTCCCGTTTCTATGGATACATTTTCAGTGAATGGACAGGGAAAAGTCCAGGAGGTCACATGTCATACTGTTTATGGGGGGGGGGGTGCAACTGCATTTGGAAGGGAGTTTCTATTTTATGTGTTTCTGTATTAAGTCCCCCTGCCTTTTTTATTATAACGGTCTGTGTCACTTTTTTTGTTGAAACAAAAGAGCAATTAAAGAAAATTTCAAAATATATACTTTTCAGGACTATTGTAAGGAGTAGCAAAGTAAGGTACAAATATGTGTCACTCATTCGTATGTACCTGTGGATAAATGGCTTAGCCTGGTGTCTGTGAGCTCTTTGTTGACACCCCAGGGCCAAGATGTGTTTTGGAATTCAGAAGTTTTCAGATTTGACGAAGGTAATACGGTACACATGGTATATCAAGTAACTCCACCAGCAGAATCTGCAGCAATACTCAATAATCAAATGTATTAATTACTTTTTTTTCTTACCGAAGTGTAATACGCATACAGAAATACACATGGTAAGTACAGCTTGGTGAATATTTACAAGCTGAAGAAATACATAAATATTTTTGCTGTAAAACATAGAAACATTTATGTTAAGTGAGATAAATGGAGATTATGAATATGCTCACATCAGTAGGCCAGGTAGTAAAAACCTGGCAGTTTTGGATTTTAAAGCTGAGGATAACGGGCTGTAGACCTGTATTGGTAGTCACACGAGCAAGGCATTATGGAAGAGCCTAAAAAAGACTTCAGGGCCAGGAAAGGACAGGAGCAGGCTGGCGGTGTTTGCTCATTTACTGCCCCCCTCCTGCTTTTTGCTCTTTCCCCAGGAATACGTGTCCAGATGTCCACCTGGCTGCCACAGGGGATCCCTTTGGGAGACTGAAGGACAGGCTCCCAGGCCAAGGTTGAGGCCAACCAGTCCTGAGCTTTAGGCCAGGGGAATGGCAGCACCCCCGGAGCCTCAGGACGAGGCCCCTGGGGAGAGAGAAGGGCTGCTGATTGTGAAGGTGGAAGATTCCTCCTGGGAGCAGGACTCTGCCCAGCAAGAAGACAACAGGGATTCTGAGGTCTGTCGCCAGCGCTTTCGGCATTTTTGCTATAGGGATGTGGGCGGGCCCCATGAGGCCTTCAGTCAGCTCTGGGAGCTCTGCTGCCGCTGGCTTCGGCCGGAGCTGCACACCAAGGAGCAGATCCTGGAGCTGCTGGTGCTGGAGCAGTTCCTGAGTGTGCTGCCCGGAGGCGTCCAGGACTGGGTTCGAGAGCGGTGTCCAGGGAGTGGCGAGGAGGCCGTTGCGTTGGTGGAGGTCCTGCAGAAACAGCCAGTGAAAGCATGGCCGCAGGTGAGGGTCCCCTCCCACACCCAGAGGCACCTGGCTGGTACCTGGCTGAAGAGAGGTGGCCATCTCCATATAAACAAGTCCTCCAGGGGTGGTGGGGGTGCAGAGCCAGAGGGAGCATCAACAGGAGTGCATCATAACAGGTGTTGCCTGTCTGAAAGACACTGTCCAAATGAATCTGGTTTCTTTTTGGTGGCTTTGGAGGGCAGCAGCAGGACCAAAGTGGGCATGTTCCAGGAAGGCAGTTTTAGCTCCACACAGGTTCTGCAAATGTTTTTTTATGTTCTGCTGTAGGCCAGGCCCTGGGGATACAGTCATGTGTAATGAGAGCAGCAGAGTAGGTATGAGAAGGTAGCTGTCCATGTGAACCCTGCTCTCTGTGGGGTGTTGGATTCTTGACCCTGGGGAAGGTGCTAATGAGTGGCTGGGGTGTGGAGTTCCGCCCTTGGCATGGAGGTCTGCCCCCACACCCCCTTACTAAGTGGCTCTGTGATTTGGCCTTTGGGAGCTGTTCTTGCCTCATGCTTGATCAGGGAGTGTCTGTGGGCACACAGCACTGCCTGGTGTCACCTTCTCCTCTGGATGTTTCTGGGACCCCATGTGGATCTCCTTCCCCACCCCCCTACATCCTGAGGGACGTGTCCTATGTCTCCTTCCCAGGGATTAAGCTCTGTCTCCCCCATCTGGTCTCGGTGCTGATGAGCATGTTGTGGTTCCTGCACAGGAAGTGCCCTCAGAGGACGTGGAACCTGAGGCTCCAGTCCAGGGACCCCAGGCCAAGGGGCTTCCCATGAAGGTGGGGGCACGAAGCTGGCCACCTGTACCTTGGGAGCAGCACAGCCATGGTGGTGAGTAAGCTTGTAGGCACAGATCACTGGGCAGGGGCTTGGGTCCTTCCAGGGCATTGCCCTCAGGGTAGCAGGAAGGATATTTCTTTCTTTCTTTCTTTCTTTTTTTAAAGATTTTATTTATTTATTTGACAGAGAGAGACACAGCGAGAGAGGGAACACAAGCAGGGGGAGTGGGAGAGGGAGAAGCAGGCTTCCCGCAGAGCAGGGAGCCCAATGCGGGGCTCAATCCCAGAATCCTGGGACCATGACCTGAGCTGAAGGCAGATGCTTAGCGACTGAGCCACCCAGGCGCCCCAGAAAGGGTATTTCTGTTGTAGGAAGCCTAGGAATGTGTGTGCATGTACATGTGTGAGAGCTCACTCCTGGCCTGGGCTGGTCTCTGTGAACCTCTGTTCTTTTCCTTCAGCCCAGCTTCCTGCTCTTAAAGAAGGGAGTACCAGAGAGACAACCGATACCTGCTTTACCTCTGAGGCCCATGTGAGTCACCAGTCCATTTGTCCCCTCTGAGGCCCTCGGTGCTGTCGAGTCCCTAAAATGGGCCTTGTCTTTTCATCAAGGCCTCTTCCATCCATCCTGGTCCTGCCTGGACGTATCCTGTTCCCCATCCCAACGGGGAGTCCAGAGTGGCAGTCCTGAGCCAGGTTGTGTGTGTGTGTTTTTTTTTTTTTTAAACCTCATTCTAGGGACCTGTGACATTTGGAGACATTCCTTTCTATTTCTCCCGGGAAGAGTGGGGGTCCCTGGACCCTGCTCAGAGGGAACTCTTTTGGGACATAAAGCGAGAGAACTCCCGGAATGTTGCCCTGGGTAAGCAGTGGGTGCCCTTGGGGTCCTTGGCTCCTCTGAACTGGAAGCAACAACCTTCTTGGGGGTCCCGGTGACAGAGGGTGGGCGCAAGCAGGCCGTACACCCCCGTATGTCCCTGCTGGAATCCTCAGTCTTTCCATCCCCTCCTTAGCTGGCTGGAAAGTGGGCTTTCGCTGGTTTTTTTCAAGAGCCCTGGGTGATTTTCCGTTTGTCTCAGGGTTCATTTTTCTTTGCTTTTGAGTGTGTGCTACCATAAGATGGGTGCTTGCAACATGTCAGCACTGTGCTGAGCTCTCATACGGGCATTTTCTTGTGATTCTCACAACCTGCTGCATAGAGGTGTAGTCCCGGTTCATAGACGAGGGATCTGAGTCTCAGAGAGGTCAACGGACACTGAAGGGGCTGAGCTGGGGCTCTGTACAGTAGTTGTGAGGTCCCCTTAGCCCCACGAAGAGGGGTTGACAGAACACCCGTTGTCCGCGTGCCAAGGCCTGGGCTCTGCTCTTCGGAGGCCACCCTCCTGGAGCTCCTCTCTTCATTAGAGCCTTTCTGAGCGCTGTCTGGGGATCGTCTCATTTAATCCACATGACACAGTGGGCAGGCTAGGATCATTCCCTGTCCAAATCTGTTGTTGAGTTTAAGGGACAAAAGCTTGTGGAATAAGAGCAGCCACATTGGCTGAACCCATGTACGTTCTCAGTTTCTGGTAAGAAATACTGAGGGTTTGGATAACTTACAAACTACCTGAATTTATTCACCAGTTTTGGAGTTTGAATAGCCAAGGTTCAGAGGGTGGGACATGGGATGCCAGTGTGGACACTGGCATGGAAGTGTTGGGCGTATAATTAGTAAGTGTCTATGCAGCGCGCATCAGCCCAGATGGACCCTAGGCCTCTGCCTCTGAAGTGTTTCTCCGTCAGCAGTTTATCATGTCCCTATTTTATGGGCGAGGAAACTGAGGCTGGGGTCCTGTGCCGCCCTGGGCTTTCTGGACCTGAGTCCTGTTTCTGCCTTGCCCCAGCTCTGGTCCCGGAACCCAGTGGAACTGAAGAGGCCGCCCCCTCTCGGCTTGCAGGTGTGGGGCTCCAGAGCCAAAGCGAGCGATCCGGGCTGGAGGAGGCGGTGACGGCGCTGCCGGGCCAGGCCGGCGGTGGCGGCGGCGGCGGGCGCG